ATATATATATATATATATATATATATATATTATACATACATACATATGTAGTTATTACACCTTTATTTGTAGAATTATTTGCAGGTAGTGCAAATCGTACATATATGACGATTATATTCAAAATACGTCGGATATACAATTCTGTTATGTTTACGTGTTATCCTTCCCTCCCTCCCCCCTGTGGTTGCGTTGACAATATAATTACTTACCGCAAACGATTTATTTTCATCCTCCTCCTCACGCATGACTAACACGGCTGAGAACGCATTTCACGGCAGGTAACAAATTGTCATCCAAGCCCGCCCTGCAAATGACGAGCACACCGTCCACCGTGAAGGTCGTGCCAGCCGGGACGAGGCCCGTGGTGAAGGGTTTCGACTTGAGCGGCGTGGAGGGCGCGGATCTGCTGAGCCCGCGCTGCCAGAGTCCGTCTTCCGATCGGAACAGTCCGGAGACCAAGAGCAAGGAGGACATCGTGCAGAGGGAGAAGAAGGCGCTCTCCTCGAAGACGAGCAGTCCGCGATGCCAGTCCCCCGCGTCAGGCCACGTGACGCCGGAACTGCTGGATCCCAAGGCGGCGAAGCCGAACGAGGAGAAAGCGGTGGACGTTCAAGCGATATACAAGAGCAAGCGAGGTGACAGCAAGCAGCAGCTTCACCTGGTGGTCGTGGGACACGTGGACGCCGGGAAGAGCACCCTGCTCGGCCGGCTGCTCTGTGACCTGGGCCAAGTACCGTCGAGGCTCATTCACAAGTACCAGCAGGAGAGCAAGAAGATAGGGAAGCAGTCGTTCGCATACGCCTGGGTGCTCGACGAGACCGGCGAGGAAAGGTGATCGTAGAATCGCGTCATTTCGCGAAGAGAGAATATACACATGTTATGCAAGGTTTACTAAAAGTGTGGAAATTCAGACAGAGTTGGATTTCGACACTTCTTTTGACACCTCTCTGCTAGCGCACACATGCACAAAAAAAAAGCGTGAGTCCGAGCATGCGATCTAAACGCGACACACCTTAGGTAATGCTAATGCCGGCGATACCGCTACCTTCAAGCTCCGCGACTCGAAAGGTGCTCGATGAAAATATACTTCATTATACTTATTACAGCATCTTGAAGAGTCCTCGAGGCAAGTTGAATGTCTAATAAAGATAGGGTTTCCCGTTAGAAAATTCCAAGGTGTCTTAATGACCTTGACAGCGCTATCCAAGGTTACACTAATATCGTTACGTAATACGTCACTTAAAGCCCTAAAACTTAACGTACGGAACACTTTTCTCGAAGATGCATAGTTTTCGAAATATTAAGAGGTTTCCACACTTTTCGCAGACCCTACACAATAATATACACATATCGTAAGTTTTATTATTGTATATTAATTTTCTACGAAAAGAGTATACTTATTCAACCGTCGTTTGAAATCTTCCGTGAAACTCACGAGACGCGTTTTACAGAGAGCGTGGGATCACGATGGACATAGGCCATTCGAAATTCGAGACTGATACGAAGTCCATCACCCTCCTGGACGCGCCCGGCCACAAGGACTTCATCCCGAACATGATAACCGGCGCCACACAAGCGGACGTGGCTTTATTGGTGGTCGACGCGACCAGGGGCGAGTTCGAGACCGGGTTCGACAGCGGGGGGCAAACGCGCGAACACGCGTTATTGTTACGTTCTTTAGGTAATGCATTCCGTGTTACCTACTATTAATCAACGGACAGTTAACACCCGTTAGATTTATCGAAGCGTTTCGTGCTCTCGTTGCTTCTCCAGGTGTGTCGCAGCTGGCGGTCGTAGTGAACAAAATGGACACCGTGAACTGGTCGAAGGAGAGATTCAACGAGATCGTCGACAAGATGAGCGTGTTTCTGAAACAGGCCGGCTTCAAGGACACGGTCACCTTCGTACCTTGCAGCGGTTTATCCGGCGAGAATATAGTTACGAAGCCGCAAGAGCAGCTCTCTAACTGGTAATCCGCGTGCGGCCGTGATTCGGGGGTCGGAAATTTGCAGATTAATCGTAATGGCTGGTGAATCTTCTCTCACGGACCTGTGTGATTCCGCAGGTATACCGGACCTACTCTAGTCAGTGTAATCGATAACTTCAAGTGCCCGGAGCGGCCTGTGAACAAGCCATTCCGTTTCTCGGTAAACGACATATTCAAGGGCACCGGCTCCGGCTTCTGCGTGTCCGGCCACGTGGAGACCGGCATGGTGTCCTTAGGTGACAAGGTTTTGATACTACCTCGAAACGAGATCGCCGTCGTGAAAGGTTTGTACATTTGAGCGGAGCCGCTGTCGAGAAATTGCGGAACTAACGCAACTTCCGCAATGTTCCCGGCAGGTCTCCAATCGGACGAAGTCTCGACAACGAACGCGTTCGCCGGTGACCACGTTGCCCTGACCTTGGCGGGCATCGAGCAGCAAAACGTGAGCATCGGCGACATAATCTGCAACCCGCAGAACCCGGTGCCGGTGACCACGTGCTTCCAGGCGCACGTGGTGGTGTTCGCGATAGCGAAACCGATCACCAAGGGCCTCCCGGTGGTGATGCATCAGCAGTCCCTGGTGCAGCCGGCGGTGATCACGAAACTGATTGCGCAGCTTCACAGGAGCAACGGCGACGTGATCAAGAAGAAGCCGCGCTGCCTGCCGAAGAACTCGAGCGCGATCATCGAGGTCGCGACGCAGAACCCGGTTTGCATGGAGCTCTACAAGGATATCAAGCAGCTAGGCAGAGTCATGTTGCGATTGGAAGGCACCACCATCGCGGCCGGCCTGATCACGAAGATCTTTTAATCGGGGAGCCGACGGTCGCGCACGCACGAACGAAGTCTCGAATCTGCACAGTTGTGACTCTTCGGATGTGGAGATTTGTTTAGATCTAACGGACATACTACGTTATTGTATTTATATCACAGATATCACAGACACACGTACATGAACACAAAGAAACACTCTCGCTTAGATTGTGCCACTTTATTTCATTTACAATAATACAGAAGACTTCGCTCAAGACTTCGTTTTCTTACTATACATTCGATGATATTGTTTTATATTTATAATTATTTATAATGTCCTATTGAATATATACACATATATATATGTAAGTTCGGTATTGTGTTCAATAAAGGATATAGTCGTGTTATTTTCAAGAATGTGCTCAGCGTTTTCTGTATTATTTAAATGCGTTAATGATAAGAGATGAGAAAGCGTTACAGTGTGTTCAATACTGCTGAAGAGATAATCTTAATATTCTATATGAAACGTAGAAATAACGCTTTGTGAGGTTTTCTTTACGGGAATTTACTTTTTAAGAAAAAAAATATGAGACATTTGTATAAGATATTCATAGCGATTTTTAGAGATTTAATTTCAATAGGAATAATTTTCTATGATCGGGCAGATGAAGTTTTACGTAACCGAGTTATCGCATAGATACAAATGCAGTCGTGGATTTAGCTCTGAAATCGTGTTAACGTTTGATCCGGTCATTCTTTGAACCTGTTCATCTCGCGCAACTGCTGCAACCTCCGAAAAATGGAATATCAACGCTGTCCCCTGTATTTGGTCTACCAAGTCTACGGGATGGAGGACGCGGTCTGTGTGATAAGCAATTGCAGAAATTAATATTTTACGCGTCTCTTATTTGACTTCACTTTGAAACATCACTTTAAAGGGGTACATTACCCGGAACCCGGCCGGAAATCCCTTGTAGATTGTCTGTCCGTTCGGTCCATGCCAGGACTGACCAATGTCTGAAAGCTATTTCCACCAGGGTCATCGTATCACGTGCGACAATAAGAGAGAGCAAACACAGAGCTCATTAGTGAGCCGAAAATTTACAACTTTACTCGATTGTTACCGTATCAGTTATCTTACTTACAACATAACGACCATATATATCATTCCTGTAAAGATCCCGAAGACCCTCCTCACACTCCACGGGACAGAATTCACTACGCTACCGTCTACAAGCAGATTATCATGTATATGACGCAAGAATGTGATATTTTTCTAGTCACGACCACCGTGAAGTTAGGTTAAAGCGTATTACCGTCCGCAACGTAGACCATGTTCGCGATGGAACGGCGAACTTTCGTTGAAAAAAGCCTCGGCAGAGATTTTAAGTTCACTTTTTCGCTTCCGACTGGTCAGATTTTGTAATATGTAATTTCTCACGTGCGATTACAACGCATAATTCGTAACACTAATTTGTGACAACTCGCTACCACGCACACGTCAGACGCAAATTACAGCCGTGGAAGGGATGTGCGATGTGTCAAATAGTAGGAACTCCCACCACTTGACGTGGATAGGATAGATAGAGCATACAGGGTGTCCCAGAATAACCGCATGCACGAAGTAGTGCACCACCTATTTCAAGGTCGGTTATTTCTGATTTAAGTCCTTTTATATTTGATTATCATTGCCATGATGATTTCATCTTGATTTATTATTAAAAAATCTACAGTTTCTCATATACTATCCATTTGTTGCGCGTTTGTCAAGTATTTCGCACTTGCACGTCTTACGTAATAGAATTAAGAAAACAGAAGCGGAATTAACAATAATTTGTTGTAAGCGTTATCAGTTGATTTCGATAACATTTATATATACATTTATATAGAATTTCAGACCTCTAAATGATGCCGATAAGAGAGACGAATGAATTAATAATAATAAGACTAACCAAGCGTTTTCTCGCGTTTCGTTCTATCAGAAAATTTCATATAATTTAATTTAATATAATTACAGGATAAATCCGATCGAGATTCGATAAATGCTTCGCATTTATTCCGATAACGTGTAATAACGATACTTAATTCAAAGTCGAGGATTCGTTAATTTATGACACAGCACTTGCAAGAATAGGTTTATTTCCAATTATAAGTTTACTCGAGATATTTTGAACACTATTCCTGAAGAAACAAATTTTTAGAATGCAAATTTCACCTTCTCCGACGTACAGTTTGTTTAATCGCTACCCGGTAAGCAAAAAAATCATGACTAAATATTATTATTATTAACGATGTTCGATAACATATAGCGTTTTCAAATACGTCATACTTAATGCAGACCATCAATATGACAAATATTGACACTGATTTGGAGATTTCGATGATTTCGAGTGTTGAGTGTTATAACGTTGCGCTAACATTTTTCTATTCTACATTTTTTTTTTAATAATATTGACGAAAAGATAAAATTTAAATGTGGATCTCTATTCTTGAAATGGTTGCGTATATGTAGGTGTCGTTGCACAATTATTTTTATGATACGATTTGTACCTGCATAATGACACGTGTGTGCAATTATTTCAAGAATAGAAGCTGATAATGATTTTATTATTTACTAACTGGCCATACATAGGATAAGTTTATTTTTCATATTTTCATGCTGAAAGTATTATTCTTTATTACTCATTACATGCCGAAGGAAAATATAATGATACTTTTAGCACGAGAGCGTGCAAGACGAACTTAGCCATAAGAACATGCAGCCATAGTTTTGTATTTCTTACCCAACTTATAAACAATTTCTTGAAGTAGCGGACGGGCAGTGAGATTCGAATACATTAGAACAATACGAAAAATAATATTATAACAACAGAAAATTAATGTTACCAACGTTATTTCTAAGTCCGAGTTATAAGCAACTTTAAGCTGTTGCATTGACCTCAAATAAAGGTCAAAATAACACTTAAGAAATACTTTCTGCAATATTTTTATATTTTTAAAACATTTTATATGCAATTATTTTATATTTTTAAAATATTTTAACAACTATTCCAAAAAGTTACATTACGAACATCTTTTAAATATAATATTAAATATATATTAAAAATCGTTCGAAAAATACATAAAATCAACATAACATCAACATTTCCAAACGTTAATTCAATGTTCTTTGCTTACTGGACCACTATTTATAAGTCGCAAACCTGTGGACGATCCGTTAAGCTAGCGGTTGCGATTCGACGCGTCTGTCGCGCGCCCTCACTTTTACCCAAATTCCGCCTTGTGCTCTGATTGTTATTCGAAATCTAAGTGTCATCTCCTTCCCGTGTACCGGTTCTAATCGACATTTTCTCAATATAGCGCTGATGATCGACTTTATCTCGAGCATGGCGAACTTGTGTCCTGAAAAAAATAAGAATGAGCGCGAAGGATGACCACGAGAGTATCTTATATTGAGATTTTTTACAAAGAAAGCATCGTCTTATCAATTCGTTCGGCTTTCTTACCGATGCAGTTCCGAGGCCCAGCGCTAAAGGGCAGATAGGCGTAAGGGTGTCTTCCTTTCGAGTTCTCGGGACTAAAACGTTCCGGCTTGAAGTCGTAAGGATCGGGAAAATGATGGGGCAAATGATGCGTGCAATACGGTACTATAATTACGCCGCAACCGACCGGTATTATGTGCTTCCCTGCGCGATAAAATAACAAATTGAGAATAGCAGGATCTGCAAATTGATTGGGTAACGGTTACCCAACGTTTAGCCAACGTTGGGCAACGTTAGCCAATTAATTTATGCCGCTTGGAACGTGAGTGACTTTTCACTTTTTCAAATTCGCTTACTTATAAATAATAAACATCTTACTTTTTCTTACTTTTAAGAAGAAAAAATCACTTTTTTTTACTTTTTCTTACTCGACTTCGGCCCTTTCGAAGAAAAAAGAAGGAAAAATTCAACCACAAGAGAAATCATGTTTAACAACTAGCTTTTTCAAAGACAAAACAAAAGATTCAAAGAAAATGGAAAGTAACAATGATTGCAACGACACGATGTTCTTAAAGCGAGGAAATGTAATTTGATTTCTAATCTCTTTTCATCAGGTTTGTCAGCAAAACAAACAGTAACCGTCACGAGCACCCTTGACTTATAGAGATGTCTCATAGAAAGACGTCTTAAATACATGTTCAAGACATTCTAAACATGTGCTCCGATTTTAGGCCTGGTGCTGTCTGGGAGGGCACCAACCCGAAAGTCAGATCGAACGTTCACCAAAGATTCTTCCCCAAGTCCTTACCTATCTTCACGTCTTCGCCCGATACTCTGGCGAAAAGCGGCACGCTGGGGTAGAGCCTCAAGGACTCCTTGACGCACATCTCCAGGCACTTCATCTCCTTCAGATCCTGCATAGTGGGCGACCTCCTGTCGTCCCCGAAGATCTCGTCCAGCTCGGCGATACATTTCTCTTGCCATTTGGGATTGTTCGTCAACAGAAAAAGGGTGAACGCGGTGCTGGTAGCGACCGACTCGTTGCCGGCCAACATGAAGGTACAACACTCTTCGATCATGTCCTGCTCCGTAAAGCAATGATTCTTCTCGTTCATCTCGATCATGTACTCGAGCAAGGATATCTTCCTTGTCGTCGCGCCGGGTTCTCCATTGTCCACGAAGGAACCGTGCTTCCGCAAGAACTTCCGCTTCTCCTTCAACTTCTTCAAGCAGAAGTCGAAGAGATCCTTCTGCTGTTTCTGCTCCACCCTGCCGGCCGCTGTTAATCGGTAGATCCAGTCGATCAGCAGCCATGGCTGCGCAAATCTGTACATCATCATAAGATGTCCTCTGTCGTATGAAACATGAACAAATAGTGAACACATTAATAATCCCCCGTGTGTAAGATGAACGGTATGAGCGCCATGAATTGTGCACGCGCGTTCCGACGCGTTCCGCAAACGATTTTTAACGAGCTTCGCTAATTATTTTGCCGACGTTGCACTCACTTTCTGAACGGCGTGTCGTCCACACCATTGTTGTACCCTTGGCTTGCCGGCATGCCCAGTATGGTCTCTAAAAGCAAAAGGAAACAAGAAATAACGACTAGACAAATCGAAAGGTCAACATTTGACCATCGGGACCGCCCAAGGCATTAAGGTACGCTCGAACTTCAAAGAGTGAACACTTACGATCTCTTCAAAGGTATCATTAGCGGCACGTAGATACCAAAAATCAACAAGATGCTTATGTAGCTGCGTGTACACGTTTGCGAAACCCTGGACTTGGATTCTCGCGCTAATTAGTATTTTCTCTGCGGAGTTTGCGAGAGACGGATTGGAACATTGTATGCGTATGATTGTTTGCAATTCGTATCGATTTCCTCAAGCGCCGAAATAACATATGCGTTTCGCACGTCGATGTTGTCTCGCAGGCGCGCAGGTTTGCATTTGTTCACACCACGTTTGTATTTAACGAAGCGAGCACAAAGACGCCTAGCCGGAAAGATCTTTCTAGTTTCGTTTTGAAAGTCAAATTGCGGGGCGTTCGCTTCCTTTTGAATATGAAAAACATACGGAGAAAAAACGGTCTGGCCGACACAGAAATCGGATGTGATGCCAAACAGATTGAATGGTAAAATGTGGGATAATTAATTGCGTGGCTGCTGCAACTACGATTGTTGAGTAACGTGTGTTGCCGCAGTGATGGCATCCGGTTCCTCCAACCAGACTCTCTTGATATTTCAATTACAAATGTTTTAACAGCAATCGCACCATTTTGTTGCCTTAGATAAAATGTCTTGCAAATACAAATATAAGTTGCAACCATCTACCGGTAACCGCGAAATCTGTTTTACTTATACTTTCTACGTTTTCTCAGGCCGACCACCACTCATCCGCTTTAGTTCACAGTCGCTCTCGCTTCATTTCGATCATCGGACGGCAAACAACTAGTTCAACGGCTATACCGATATTTTTGTGCTTATTTATTTTCAAATGTTAAATAAGTATCTTCCCGGGAAAAAAGAGATCATATAAGAAATTTGTTTCAGTTGAAATTAAGTTTTAGCGACGTGGAGAGACGCTCAGTTTGGCTTTCGAATTCTTTGAAAATTTAATTTTAAAAACCACGAAAGATAAAAAAAAAGATCTACGAAGAACACAGCGCCAAACATGGAAGCCAAATCGACTTTTTCCCACGTCTCGCAAAACTTAGAATATCAATATAATTTTTTTTAATAACACATTCCAGTTTCTGGTATTTATCACATATGAAACGAAAAAAAATAAAGTAAACAGAATGTCGATATGCTCTTCGGCTAGAAAATTCTATAGTAATTTTTATTATACGATCCTCCTATATGTTTATAATGCTAATATGTGATGCTGATTCAGCGCGATATTTTATGTAAGATAGCATTATGAAAGTAAAATGCCGTCATGGTTGTTGAATGTGGTGTTGTCGTGAATTATTCTGAAATCGATATTTATAACTCTGCTATCTGCTGATGCGCAACATCGCGGTAAACTGTTTATTATTTCATTCATATTCCTTTTCCAACTCAAACTCCTTTTCCTAGATGACTCACTTAGATACATTTAAAATACATTTCACGCAGGATGGTCCAGAGAGAGACGAGATTCCTGCAGTCCCTGGCCATTAGACGCATTTTGATTTCTTAATAAAATACAGGTAGGAGGAGAAGAAAAGCCACTTAAAATCGTTTAGAACAATTTCTGTGTCAATCAGTGCTTTTACTTCTGCAACCTTCTGTTATGGAATCCAACATATTCAGTGCAATAAAAAATTGTGTTCTTTGCACTACGATCTAATGCCACACACTGATTATTAAAACCCATTGACAGTACTTTCATACACATCAACAGTCACTTTCGGCCATGTTGAAATAGCACAACTACTGACTTCTATTAGTCAACAGCAAGAATTCATTCAAACACCTAATATAAAGCTGATCCTTAGAAGCCAATGAAATGTAAAGAATCAAAGTGTGTCTAATAATACGGCCAGGAACTGTATTCGTACTTTACTTTTCACTGAAATAGAATCTCAAACGTACCATTTAAAAACCGCATATTCATGATCAAAAGCTATAAATAAATATACTAATCACATTCACTTGATTGAGCTTTGTTAAAAATACTAATCACGTTCACAGCCGAGCGCAATTCTTCGCGAGAATTCGAAATTCACATCGTCCAACGGTCTCAAGTTTTTCAACGAGGGTAGCAAAAAATCTTCGGAAATGAAAGCGAGATAGAGTCAAGGCGAGGTAAAAAAACAAACGACAACATTACCAATCAGTATCTCGTAGACGGAGTTATTAATAAACATTGTGAGGTTCACATCCTCGCCGTTCTTCTCGAGCAGCTGGTCGGCCAGACGATCGGCGCACTCGCCGAACGTCCCTACGGATCTCTGGAGCATGTGCAAGTGGAACGCCGGCTGCAAGATCTTCCGGTGCTGCTTCCACTTGTTGACCTCCAGCGAGACGAGTCCCTTGCCGATGAGAGTATCGAGTAGCCGATAGAAGTAGATCTTACGCGTGTGCTTCATGCTGCCGAGCACCATTTGAACGTCCTCCGGCTCTGTGATCATGACGTACGGCAAGAACGTCAGCCATATTCGGATAATGCGGCCATAATTTGACGCCTCGTTCGTCAACCTCTGCATCACTGGAGCAAAAACGCGTAAATTAATCTAGAAATGAGACACGGCTTAATTATTGAGCTGATGCAAGAGTCCGTTCCGCTTCTTAATAGAAACATACAAAAAAAAATTTTTTTAATTTATTTAAAAATTGATATATTATGTTCAATTAATCAATTATTTCACTTATATTCAATTGTATATTCAATTATAATCAATTATTCGATTGACCTAATATATAATTAATAAATTATTAAGCGATATATTCCGCGATATTATCCGAATGTCACGTCTGTATCGATTAATGACGTCGATTCACTCACGGTTCCCCTCGAGCAGGGCGTTCACGTTGCCGAGTATGGGCACGGTTTTCGGTCCGTCCAGCGTGAAGATGAACCTGTAGATCCTGACGTAGTTCCGCAACGTGTACAGAAAGTAAATAACGAATAGGAAGGCGACGTAAATCCACATCTTGCCTGGCGTGCGACTCAACTGCGATCACGAGAAATTTTAAGATTAAACGAACTTGCAAAGTGACGTTCGATCTTAATTATACCTTTTGTCTCGTCCGGATGGACAACTATATAGTGACGTCTCCAATCCCGCGTTACCGACAAAGTTTCAGAAAATCAAAAGCAGCGCGCCCGCGTTCGGCGCTGCGCGCTATCTCCCGGCTTCATTATTTAATGAACTTAAAGAAAATCGCCTATAGGGTGGGAAAAGCATGTAAGGACTTAGGGTGTGGAAGGTCCAGCAGTTGAGTACCTGGTATTACCCCGAAGAACGAATGCTCGGGAGACGCTCCGTTTGGCCAGAGTGAGAACGAGAGCGAAAAAGTCGAGTGCGAGCAGAGAGACAGAGCGAGAGAGAGAGCTACGTCCAACGCAGCGTGACTTCAGATAATTCTCCCCGTGTGGGGTTGGAATCCCCCCATCGGGCGCCTCCCCAGGTGGCGGATCGGGGAATGCTCGCCGGCTTTGCCGAAGGGTACCGGGGAAATAAAATACCCGGGGTGGACCTAAAACTACCAACCAAGCAATGGAAAAAAATATTAACGGAAAGAAGTACCCCAGGTGGTATACCGAGCAATTCGGAAAATCCACCCTCGAAAGAGGCAGGCCCCACGGATTCTGGGGGGGGGGGGNATGATCGAACTATAAATCCCATCTACCATTTAGAGAGTTTCAACGACAACGCTGCCACTCTGTTGGTGATAAACCATCTTCACCAACAAAATCTTCATCACAGGGATCAAACATCTCCCAGGGAGAGTGTCAAGTATCATCGCCGAAGGAAGAGGGAAGTCATAAAGAAATGACGTGGGAAAACCAAAGCAAAAAACGATCGCGTACCAGTACTGATGATACGAATCGGAAGCAAACGAACCTACTGGTTGAAAGCTTCAATACCAACTTCTAATAGATTTGAAGTACTCACCCAAGACGAGAGTAATCAGATCGACAATAACAACAATCGAGGGAAAAAGATGCCTAAACCTCCTCCGATATTTGTAGCAGGTGTTAACAACATACAGCCTCTCACACAACTATTAGAAAAAATAGCAAGTAACGATTATGAAATAAAAATTCTCAGTAATGAGCAAGTCAAAATTCTGCCTAAAACACCTGAAACATACTCAATAGTAGTGAAGAAGCTTGAAAGTAGAAAAACTGAATTACAATTATAAGACCGCCAACTTGCACAAACTATTGTATCATAGTACCGCTGAGGAGGATCCTTTCGGTCGGCTGTCACCAAAGGCGAGTCACCTGACGAATTTTCTTATGTAATTAGTGCTGAGTATCACTTAGCGTTATCGCCGTGTCGGGGACACTTCTCAGGCAGCGGATTTCGTGCCGTCTGACCGACTCGAAGCTCTCGCCCGCCGAAACAGAGAATATTGAAAAGAGTTATTGAAGAGCTATTGAAAAGAGTAGTTTCGCCGTAGTTTACACGGAGTATTAGCGAAGATCGACCGTTAGTATTTTAGTTCGCGCGCATATCGAATTTCCGGCCGTGTTACGCCGATGCCGTAATCACCTTTGTAGCGAGTCAGTAAAATAAACTTGTTAATTTGACTTTTAAAATCGTGAATCCTTTCTACGAATTTCGGCCTCGAATACCACGTTGACTTTTCTTCAGAATCTCACCGTCTCCGACTAAAAAATCTTGGAGCCACCGGTCCCGTCGTGGACAAAATGTCTCCGTGGAGGAAATAGGAGGAAGCGTAAATAACTGGCGCGTGCGGAAATTTTGGGTTGCCGTCGCGCAGGAGTTGCGGCGGAGATTTGCACCGACAGTTCGGATATCTTTGTCTGAACCGAGAAATAAGATCGCAATACGTTCAAATAAAAAGATATACCCACGGAATAATATTTGCATAATCGATTCAGCATGTTATTAAAATACCCCTCTTTTGCTCTAACAATCATTAAATAAGCGTAAAATTAACATTGACAATATCATGAGAAAAAGTTAGGTCAAATCAGAAAGTTGCATGCCATGTTAATTTTACAGTTATTTATTGATTGTTAGAACAAAAGGAAAGCGTCAGAAGCATTTTATCGTGTTTCGATCACAAATGTTATTTGATTACGGGTATATCTTTATTGAAACGAATACCGCAAAAATTCTCAGCATGCGTTTCCTCACTTCTCTGATGTTATCAAACGAGGATAGTTGCAGAGAGTATATAGGAATCTTAGTAGAAGAAGATCGGGCGGGTGAAAAGTCGCGACGAAAGGATTAAAGGGTGCATTTCCGACGTGATGGAAACTCTTGATCTCCTTATCAATCAATTTGTCCTCGTATCTCAAATCCTCAGACACGATAACAACATTTTGATAGAATCTCATTAAGATCGTTTGCCACTTAGATCAAGCGTGCTAAGAGGATGTGCAAATGAGGGTGAAACGAGACGTCTCGCAAGCGTGAGCCTGATTGAGCTTTGTTAAAAATATTTTTATTTCTCTTAGTCAACACGGGCAGCGTGTTTTCCCGTGTGAACGGGAAAAACAGTTTAATTGCTTCTCGTACGCACGCACTAACAATATTCATCACAGCATACGTTATGTCATTTGATGAATATGAGATCTCTCGGGGAATAGCAAAAAGAGAAAGTTAATATTATGGAAATTTCCGTGATTATAACGTCGATCATCGAGTTTTCTACGCAATAACGGAAATAAACAAGTTTCGTGAGATATCCGTTATGTTCCACAAATGAAGAATAATGAACGAATTAATGCACGAATTCAGTAAAATAATAATTTCGTCCTCTTGAACTATTCTCTCGCTACAAAACTTGTGTTTTTCCTTCAGATAAAGTGTGTTGTGTAGGAATGGACAAGAAGAAACTGTACACATACATACGGACGCGCGTTGTTTTTACAAAGAAGAGAAGAGAGAGGATGGGCAAAAGCGGTCACATCCGCGATGACATATGCGGTATCGTCACAGATCGACAAGCGCACAAACACGAACACAAACAGAGCATAGAGAAAAATTCTAAAGTGATCGCAATTCGAGAGCGACCGTTTTGACATCGGCTAACAAACTTCCATATTCTTGCAAACCGTGCGCCGTATTTATAGGACTGCAAACGAGTGATACTTCGATTAAAATTGTCGCGCACAAAATGTGCATAGAACCGTCACTTTACATGAGGCACCGTGTGAAAACTACCTCCTGCGTGTGTCACTAGACACACATTCTGATATTTAAATTCCCCTTTACACTCGTTGCCGATATTTTTGCACGAGTGTTTTCTCGACGAACTTTCCTCGACATCCTCACGATGTGTCCACCGACGACCACGTGTCCATCGAAATTAATAAATTATCACTCTGACTCGCCACCGTCGCCGCAGTTTGTACCTGCTTTTTATTCTTATTCAGCGTGTGTGTCGCCGCGTGCATTGTGTGCGATATTTCTCCAAGTTGCGCAATATCATCGCAAGAAAGTTATCGAGCTCGCGAGACGGATACTTCATCGTGTATTTGCTCCTTCTCTCTCTTTCAAGGATCTCAATCGATTTATTAATTTACATTATTGATAGCGTATATAAATTGATCTAATTTCATAAACTATTAGCTTATATTTACTTAGCTATTATTGCCGCTTCTCGTTCGTTACGTAAAGTAAGCATTTTTCCGATATATTCGAGTTTTATTTCGATCGATAGCTGCGACGTTAATTTAATAAACTGACATTTTTATCAACGAAAAGCGTGCTCGGAGTGCGCCGAAATTTCAACGGCAAAGCGAGGCGCTTTTCCGCTCTCGGGTCTTTGCCGGGGCGAAAGACGACATGATCGTGCAATTATTCGCACGCATGACGACCAGTTAATTACATCTCAACGCCGATAAAGGATGAAAAGCAGAAACTTTCGGAGGCTAGAGAGTTAGAGCGATCGAAGCACAAAGTAAACGTGACGCACACAGGGATGTTCTCAGACACGGTAAAAAACGCCGAAAAATGATGAGCGCGTACTAATACACACTGTGAGCTCTCTAAGATCCGATAACTGGCCAGAAGTTATATCATCGTCCAAAATATATCGCGGTATCGCGTTCATCTCATGCGATCGTCTTTGATCAATTCCGTGAAAGAAAATTCGATTTACATAATACAAGATATAAATTATATATATATATATAT